TTACCTAGCTGGCTGATCTGTTCACACAGGAGGCTCCAGGGACCTACCTGTTTTCACCTCTCATCTCACCACCCTGGGATTACAACCACAAACCAGCACATATGGCTTTCGTATGGGCTCTGAGGATCTGAACGTGAGTCCTCGCACTTATAAGGTGTGCAGTTTGCCATCTCCCAATAGATAGACCTTCTGAGTGGATGGAAATGAGCCCAAATTGCCCTTTGTTGCAGCCACTATACACCGATGACCAAGGTATGCTACCTTTCAGCCAAGCTTAGTGTGATTTAAAAAATAAACAGTAGGTGATTTCACTTTGATACTTTGACAGATTATGAATCAAATAATCACATATGCGTAGTGGCCATGGTCCTGGGCAGCTTAATTTTAAAAACCCAAGTATTTTAGGAACGTGCAACAGCATAAAATATTTTCCCTTAATGCCTGATGCACATTATACATACATCAGAAGAAAAGTTGTTTTCCTTTACACAACCCATGTATCTACACTCCAAATAATTGTAATGACCTCAGACGCACACATATGCGCGTCCTGTTTAAACTGGCACTCACCGCTAGCAAGGTGAGTGAGTGGAAGCATCTAGAGATATTTGAGAGTTAACATGTTTGACACGTTCACAGATTGTTGGGAAAGGCAGTTATCCTCAACTGCTTGTTAATGGAGAAAGAATCTTAAAAGTTAGAATTAGGGTTTTGATTGGGGGGGGATTTATTTATTTATTGGCTTTTGTTGTTTTGAGACAATTTTTACTCTGCAGAAGGGGCTGTTGTCCTGATATTCACTACACAGGCCAAGTTGCTCTTGCGCTCAAAGCAATCCTTCCGTCTCAGCCTACCCGGTGCTGCGCCTAAACCATTGGTGCATTGCTTAAAATGGGATTTAAAGGTCTTCAGCTTGAGGCGGAATCAGAACAGGTGGGTGGAGGGTGTAAGATTTGCAAACCTAGACCGCGTGCTAAAACACGGCTGGATTCTTCCTAGATCACAGGAAAGAGGTGGGGCTGCCCTCATGACCTGACCTGTGGCTTTGCCACAATTTTCAAGATTGCACTGAGGCATAGGTGTTTTTATTACCTAAAAATGATAGAATGTGCTCAAATTTTTAAAAAAGAAATAAAGGCCACATGGGAATATACAAGAAAAAAAGGTACCAAGCACATCTGCAAGAAAGAAAGCAAACACGAATGAAATGCTGCGTTCCATCCTGGGAAGTGAGAGTGCAAATTCTCAACAGGAAACGTGCTCCAGAGGGGACACAGAGAGCATCACAAAGATATGCTGATGTATGCCTTAGAAGGAGGCAGGAAGATCAGGAGTTCAATGTCATCCTTGGCTACGTAGAGGTTTTTAAGACCAGCCTGCTACAGGAGACTCTGTCGAAAAGAAAAATAATAAACAACAAACAAACCAACCACATAAAAGAAAGGCTCTTCTTTGGAAGAGGCAAAAACTAAGTAGGCTGTGTGATGCCAGAAAAGTTATTTGACTTCTCTATTCCTGTTTCCCCATCTGTAATTCATATCAGATGAGGGAAAAGGTAATGGGAAATGGATAGACAATCATGGGAATGAATGCTTGAGTCCTTGGCAAGTAGATTTAGAGCACAAAACTCATGTCCACTAATCTTTTCCTTTAGGAGATTTGATCTTGGCTGATAAAGCCATTTCCAGATGCAACCTGAGACATTAGCAAACAGGTATTCAAAAACAGGTATTTAAACTGAGCTCCCAAGACTACTCAGACCTTACTGAAGTTTGAACACTGGAGAAACAGGAAACAAAAAAAAGTTTTTTTTTTTCCCAAAGCAAAATTCTCACAACATATGATTTTAAACAAGATCCTTGATATCTAATATAGAAGTATTATGAATTCATTTCTAATATAGAAGTATTATGAATTCATTTCATCAATGCTGGGGGGGGGAGAGAGAGAGAGAGAGAAAGATCCCAAGTACAGAAAAGCATTATCATACTAACCAAAAGTAAAAAAAAAAGTTTCCTGAATGATGACTAGTTACTATTTGGAGGAAGCATGAGAATTTTGCATTTGCGGTATGATTTTCTAGAGAGGACAAACTCAGAGTCAGAACAGCCTACTGGCACCATATCCAAAATGACTGAAGCCATAACTGCTTCAGGAGCCTTAGGTATAATCCACTTTGACCATGGCCCTCACAGCAGTGAGACCTGAGCAGGAAGTCTAGAATCAGACCCATTATCTATTTAGCAAGAGTGTGTAAGCAGGAGGATTTACCCCACAGGTCTGTGAGTTGCTTAATTCTAAGGTCCTAAGGTCTCATGAACAAAAGAAGTGATTCTTTAACAGCTCTTCAAACCCCTTGGCTTCCTCTATGACTCATAGGCCTACCTTCTTATGGGAAAGTCAAATGGCTTGTCTGCCTGGTTCAAACCATCAGGATACAGAAAGTGATACTGCCCAGATCACAGAGATGTTCTTAATCGTAAAAGACAAGCACACTGGTGACTTCTAGAATGTGTTTCTGGATAACAGTAAGAATACTGGTCTAATTATATCAGAATTGCCACCCTGCGTCACACCTCAAGCAGCCATCAGACCTGTTATAAAGGTCATCTTATGGGTGGCATGGTACCTGGGTAGATCCAGAGACCCTGAGAATAAGGAATAAGTACATCCACGAACACGGATGTATATGTGGGGAGGGGCACTAAAAGGGAGGCTGAAGTTTTCATTTGTAGATAATGTGCCTCAGTTTTCTACAATATGCCATCCCACGACCAATATAGTCATCCCATTTGCTAGTGTCCCTAAGCAGTGTAAAAGTGTCCCTAGAGCAGTGTAAAAGGCTGCCTTAAAGTGGTGGGGAATACACACATAGTCATCGCATTGTAGTAGCAGAAAGAAAGAAAGAAAGAAAGAAAGAAAGAAAGAAAGAAAGAAAGAGAGAGAGAGGAAGGAAGGAAGGAAGGAAGGAAGGAAGGAAGGAAGGAAGGAAGGAAGAAAGAAAGAGGGAGAAAGAAAGAAAGAAAGAAGGAGAGAGAAAGAAAGGAAGAAAGAAAGAAAGAAAAAGGAAGGAAGGAAGGAAGGAAGGAAGGAAGGAAGGAAGGAAGGAAAGATGAACTCATATTTCAGTCCTAGTAGATAGGCTTAGATTTAATGGCATTGCATGAGTGTGTAACAGCCTTAAACAATGCATTCAGTTCTTCCTCCTTAGGTTTTATATCTTCAAAGGCATTTGTCTGACCAGGCAAAAAATCTATGCTACCCCAAGCAGGCTACAAAAAAATGGTTTACTGAGGGCAAAATAAAATCAACTTTGCAAATGTGTGATTTGCGTGTAGTGGGATCTGCCTCAGCCCTAAAATCCAGTGAGTACTGATCTGACATGCTATGGAGAGAGTAAACCTTGGAAACGTTCTGCTCAGTGAGTGCAGCCAAAAGAAGATGCACGCTTCATGATTCTGATGGGGTGAAATGCCCGGAGCAGCAGGTTGACAGACACAGAAAGCTGACCAAGAAACGTCAGCAACCAAGGAGTGCTGATTATGTGCTCTGGGGTCACAGGCCAGGGGTGACACAACCCTGTGGATATAGTGAATACCTCTGCACCTTACCCTCTAACAGATATATTGTGTGGCAACTGTTTTATTTTAAATCAATTATAACCATTTCTAATGCAGTCTTGGGTATGTGCTTTGCTCAAATGCAGGGTAATGCTGTAATGTGCTTCCCCGATACTGTGAGATCTCCTTAAACAATAAGTAGAAAGGGGACCTGGCTTTGTTGCTGAAATGTCTGACTGGAACGTGGAAATGTGAATTCAACAGGTGTAGACTGGAAGAGTGCTTTAGAAGAAGCAGACTCCACAGTCAACTGCAAGCCTGCAGAGTCGGAGGCCAGAGGCCAGAGCCCCCATGCTGACTGACAGGCTGGTCCCTCACTACAGCTCTGAGCCCTCACCGAGCCTTAGGGAGTGGAGGCAGGGGAACACAGAGTGAGGTTCAGGCAGTCATCACCTGGGTGGTGAAACAATTCTCATCAGTCAGAGCCAGGGATGACTTCTGTTTGCCAAGGTCAGGGAGCCAAGAGCAGCCCTGTCCATTGGACAGAAGTGCGCGTTTAATGTGTCCTTTATTGTAGAATCTAAAATTTAAAGAGTAGAGTTCTAGGACTGGAGAGAGCTCAACAGTTAAACTCACAATTCGAGGTACATATTCTAATTTTTAGGTTAATGGCTCCAAGCAGGGTTTTGTTGTTGTTGTTGTTTGTTTGTTTGTTTGTTTTTGAAACCTAAGTCTGCACCACAACCACCACCACTCTCAGGTGAATGTTCACACTGTTGATTGCAGAGAGCAACGTCCATTTAACAGGTGTACCGTTTGGAAGGCTGCGAGGAGCTTGGTCCCTGTCAGCCCACCACCTGCTACTCTTCTGGATGGAAGCCGGGCAGAATGTTCATCCAGATCGGATTGAAACTTTTTTTTTTTTTTTTTGTAAGTGACTGCCTGGACTTGAACGTGACTAAACTGAAAGTACTAGAACCACAGAAAAGTCAGGTCGGCGCTTGTTCGGCTCAACGCCTTTCGGGTGCGCGCGTGTGTTCAAGGCAGACACATGTTCTTTCAGGTCAAGTCCACAGAACTGGCAACCGCGGAACAGGACGGTCCAGGGTGCAGCCCCTCGCTGCTCCGGCACTGAATTACTAGTCAGAGATGCTTCCCCTCAAGTAGGTCTACGAGGCTATTTCCACTGTTTGCACAGGGAGGAGCGAACGCGGGCGAGGGGAGACCCTGACCCGTCGGCCTCGGTGTCCGGGGGGGGGGGGGGGTCCCGGCCACGCTAGCCTCAGTACGGGGGACCCGGCAGGTGGCGGCGGCGCAGCCCGCGCAGGTGACACGCGAGGGCTCCAGGACCACTTTTTCCGGGTGCTGTCGAATATGCCGAAAGCCTCCCCAAGCCGCGTCCCGGAGCCGCCCCGCCGCCGCCGAGGTCCCCTCACTTACCCAGGCGACACACGCACAGGAGCTGGACGCACGCGACGAAGCGCTGCAGGATTCGCATCTCCAGCCGGGTCCGCGGCCCCGCGCCGGCCGCCGGGGTGCAGCTTAGGGTGCAGAGGGTGGGGACGCCGAGGCAGGGGGAGCTGGTGACTGGCCAGGGTCTAGGTGGACGAGAGAGAGAGAGAGGGTGGGGGAGGGGGAGAGAGAGAGGGGAGAAGAGAGGAGAAACCGGGGCTAGACGGCCCGTGGGCGAGGGGACCAAGCCCGGGCCAGGCACGGGGCTTCGGGCGGGACGCGGTCCCCTGGCAGCGCGGGCTGCGGCGGCCGGGATCTGAGCGCTCGCAGCGCAGCGGCGCGGGAGTGCGGGGACGCGCTCGGGGCTGGGCGCGCGCGGCGCGCGCGGGGGGCGGGGGCACGGGAGCGCCGGCGGGGGCCGGGGTCGCGCACCGGCGGCGGAGGGGCGTGGCGGATCCCAGGCTGTCCCAGCCCCGCGTCCCTCCCCCACCCACGGCTGGAGGCGGAGAGGAACCCGCTGGGGCTTAGAATCTTCGCGGAGAAAAAAGGTCTCTTCGTTAAGACTCCTTCATCCCCCTAGGGAGACACGAGGGGAAGCTGGATCCCCATTGTCCCGCACAGCTTGGGGCTGACCTTCGGGCTTCACCCCTGGGAAAGTCTCTTTCATTTGGTTATTGTCGTCTCTGCGGTTGCCAAGTGGGTCGTAGCGAGAGGGGGTGAGGGAGCCTGGGTAAACTGAGCCCTCCGTCCCCTTGCTTTCCATTTTCCCAGGAAGTGGTTCCAGCCCCCATTGCCACTAGGGCAGTTAACTCTAATCTTTGGCAGCCCGGCCGCGACCCTCCCCAACCGTTCGGCGAGGCTGTGCACAGCACTCAGCACCGCCCTGCGCTCCCTGGATGGAAGTCCCCAAGTGCCTCTTTGCACAGGGTCCTCCCGCAGGAAGATTTTTTTTTTTTTAATTGCTTGATTGCGGGATAAACAAAAGCGCGGTCATACACAGCCTGTGTGCCTCCCTGGAGCTGGCCGTTCCGTTCTCTCCGCAGGAGCCTGTTTCTATGGAGGTGTTTGTTTGCTGTGCTGAGAGTGCGCGTACTAAAACCTGAACTCCCGGCTTGGGGGTGGGGTAGGGATTTTCATAGGTCTCCTGAAATGTTTGTCGAATTAAGCTGAAGTCCACATGAAATAAGTTAACTGGTGATGATGTCAGCCGGCAGCCCAAGTAACGCCGTCCTGAATATTCGTGACATTTTCATGTCCACGATGAAGTTTGGTACCTTTATGGAAGTCCCATTCAAAGGCACAGAAAACCAGGTTCTGGAATTATCTCTGCTACTCAGTCTGATGTAGGGATCTGTACAGCATGTACCCTTGTGTTCTGTTATTGTCTCAAAGCCAGTGCTGCAGCTTTATAAAATTCAAAGGATGCTTAATGCATACCAATTGGAGTGCCGAGTCCGGTTCAGCTGCGACGAGCAGTTCTCACAGAATTCCCACTGCCTCAGAACACTGGGCTCAATGTACGGAGCTAATGATGCAGCTTGCTATCGATTCTGAATGGTGAGTGCGCTACAGTCGTGAAAGGGCAGATCGTGGAGCTACAGCGTTTGTTAAGGAGCACATATCAGTATAAGAAGTCGGCCCTTGACCCCATTCTTCCCATGCATAGAAACAGAAGTGCCGCGAGGGTTATTATGGAGATTGAAGAGTTTCCTTGGGAGAAGAGATTTCTCGTCAGTTTTGCTAACATAACAACAGGTTTGTATATTCAGTAGAAGGGCACCCTGAGTTCAGAAAGAAAAACGCAAAACCATGTTTATTAAATGTAGGCTGGAGTAGGAAGGAACATTTTCCTGGAGATGTACATTTATGCAGAAAGGACAAATGGAGAATCTGATTATCAAAGGGGGTGGAAACCAAGCTAAAGGACAGTGACGTCACATGCTACATCAAGTGCTGGATTTTCGGCAGGCTGAGATTTCTGGTACTATGGCAAGCATTGATTTCCTCATGGGGCAGTTTGTACCTCCAATGCTAAGCCATCTCCCTGGGGATTTGAACACCTAAGGAACCACAGAAGAAAGTTCAAGTGCTTAGAAGAAGCTGGGCATGCAAGACAGCTCAGTGGATAAAGACTAGCCACCAAGGCTGAGGAACAAAGCTTGATACCACTGTCCCACACTGGAGGGAGAGAACTGATGTCCATAAGGTGCCCTGTATCTTCTATTCAAATGCTGTGGCATGTACCACCCCAACATAAACAAACAAACAAACAAACAAATAAATAAATAGATGCAAGATTTTAAAAGACAGAAGCTAAGTTTCCACAGGGGAAGCGCTTGGTTACAGAGCAGGTCTCAATGATCAAGATTTCTCCGCCAGCCTGAAAGAACAGTACAGCAATAACAATGATGATGCTAGTTCTTCATTAGTTGGCCCTACCAGAAAGTCACATTTAGTAGTCAGTATCAGAGAGGATTCACCAAACAAGTCCATGGTAGAAACTGAAACTTCTTTAGAAGGCCTAATAGTTGGATCTAGGATCCCTGATAATTCCATTCTCATAGTTAGGAATATTGCCAATCCAAAATTATATATTTAACTCATTTTATTGTCTATTTCCTCACTATAAAAATGTAAGCACAGCTATTGTTTGCTTTGGGCTTTACAGTTGTATCTGACGTTGGGTTTAACAACCAGTGTTTAATAATAAATAGTGATGGATAATCCCTGTGATGCGTTCATCTCTGCGAGTCACCATATACATTTCGCAGGAATGGTCTCACTAAAAGAGTGCCGAGAAGCAGGACTTGAAGAGGAGACTTGTCCAAATTTAGAGAAAAATAAAACAATGATTAATAGTTCTGTTTTTTGAATTAACTTTTGTGAAAGGGTATGCAAAAAAAAAAAAAAAAGGTTTCAAAAAACTACTGAGTTTGGTTAATCATTACAATAATAACCATGCAAAAGGATCTGCCATCTGAAAGATACATTCCATCTTTGTTTCTCTGGAACAGTTTTGTTGAGGTTATTTAGCATTGCATAATTAGCATAGATTTCTTGATCTGTGTTTGGAGAAATTAGAATTTCTGCAATTTATTTATCTTTCCAACCATTCTTCAATCTTGTCTCAAGACAAGAGAAAAGATATACTTTTGAATTTTAAATTTGTCGAAAAAAAAAAAACAGAGCAAATCTTTTTTATTCTGAGCATTAAATAAGTCATGTTAACCCCATATCACCCTCAGTGCAAACCAAGATGTGACTATCCAGTGGTTTTTCAAATTCTCCTGGGAATTTGATAAACCAATCTTCAAATAAATTTTCAACATCTCAAAAAAAAAAAAGAGAAAAGAAAGAAAAGAAAACAGCAAAAGAAAGAAAGAAAAAGAAGAACAAAAAGAATATTGCCAGTCACCTGGGAAGACACAAAACCACCGTAAGGAGGAACCATTCTGTACTGGGATTTGTAGGGGAAACAGAATGTCAACTAATTCCCCAGAGTGACAGCAATGGGAAGGTGACCTGGAGCAGCAGCTGATGTGGCTCTAATGGTTCTGTGGAGGGGAAGGTTGAAGTTCTTGAAAAGTAGGCCATTGGAATAGCCAATCAGTAGAACAGAAGATATCAAATGAGCAAGAGCATCAAGGACCTACTGTGTCACTTTTCACAAGTTCTGACAAGTATCACCCGATCGATGTTCATTAGCAGTTGTGAGTTGATTGTGAGGCCATACAACCACATGCTATCAGGTCAAGCATGGTAGGACATGCTTTTAATACCAGCACTCAGGTATTAAAGTAGAAGCAGAAGCAGACTGACCTCTGAGAGTTTGAGGCCGGTCTGGTCTACACAGTGAGTTCCAGGATCGCCAGAGGCACATAAAGGTACTCCGTCTCAGAAACACACACGCGTGCACACACATGTAAATCACATGCCTCATTTAGAGTCTGAATATGTGTTGGTATATGCATATACATACATATATTTGATAAGAAATAGAGACAAAATGGATATGCATAATGCCCTTGTAAAATTGAATGCATTTGATTATCATCTATATACAGTCTTAGAAGACACTGAACAAACCAAAGCCATGGAAGCATCAGTATGTGTAACCTACTAGCGAAGGCTGAATCAAGAGAAGGGATTTTGTCATCTGATTCTACCAGATTAGGAATATTTCTGGAGGGAGATAATGATGACTTAATTGAATATTTCCAAATATTTAAGATCTCAGAATTTAATAGGGAGAAAAGACTTTTGAACGAATTACTTACTCACAGGACACATTTCAGCTTTATGCCCATTAAGTATCTGGCTCTGTGTAAGAGGGAATGCCTTACCAGGGGCAAGGGATAGAAGAGCAGGCAACCAAGTTCATGACAAAGGCAGCTCCTGCTGCACTTACTAGGGAACCCACATGGAGACTGAGCTGCCAATTGTCTACATTTGAGCAGGGGGTCTAGGTCCTCTCAATGCTTGGTCCTTGGTTGTTACCAGGCCACAGAGGAAGAGAATCCAGGCAGTTCTGATGAGACTTGATAAGATGTGGGCAGACAGCAGAGAAGGAGAACTCCCCCATTCAGTGGACTAGGGGAAAGGGATAAGGGAGAAGGAGAAGGGAGGGTGGGACTGGGAGGAGTCGAGGGAGGGGCCTTCAATTATGATATATAATGAATAAATTGTGAACAAAATTAAAATTAAAAAAATCCTAAAAAAGAAAATGTCTATATCTCTATCACAGACCAGTAGTCTAAGAGAAGAAAATGATTATCACTAGAAAACACCCTTGTATGCAACTGGTAGGTAAAGTTGATGAGACTCAGTTAAATTAAAATATTAAATGATGAACAATTTTATATTGCAAATTAATTTTAGTGCACTACAAAGTATTTTAGTATGATGAAGTGTTTTTCACTACAAAAATGATCATTGTAATGCTTTCACTGAATACTCGTAGCAAATTTACTATTTTTATAGACCATTCATCTGAAATTCAAATTTAAGAAAATACTTTAAATTTTGTCCACTAAATCTTGAAAACTCTGCCTTGATACTTCTTGGGGTTGTTGGATGTTAACGTTAGTCATATGCGATTAAGAAATAGCCATGTTTTTCAAAAGTTTACTCCACAATGTATTTCCATTGAAAGCAAAGTAGGTAAG